TTTTTTTTTTTTTTACAATTATAGCTTCACTGAGTTTCACCCTCTGTTACACACACCAATACTCAGCTGAGGGTAAAAGGAAGACTTCTACAAACGCCAAAGACATTCTCTGGGCCACTTCCTCCTCCCTGACCATCTGCTTCCTGTGTTCTGACCTCTGTCTCTTGACTCAATAAAGCCAGAGGTCTCTCTGAGAGCCCTCACCCTGTTTTATGCCCTGGGCACTGTTTCTAGATATTTGGGGATCATTATAAATCTAACATTTGTTTCCTGTCTCCTGCAGCGGCGGGGGGGGGGGTTAATCCTACACTGCCTATTGTCCAAGTTTGGAAAACAATTATTTCATGTATCTTGTCCAATTTTCTAGTTAATGTCTAGAGTCTCCAGAAGTAGAAGTAACTCATAAGCTGAAAAATTGAATTAGGTGGCCTAATTTTAAAATTCATATTTAATGGTGCCAAAAGGGCTCCTCATAGTTCATTCAGGAGATGTTCTTTAAGATGTTGTCTATGCAGCTGATCGTTAACTGCTCATTTTTCATTCTAGCTTCGATTCCTATCACTTCACTAATAAAGATCTCATCACATACCCCCATGAGCACCTTATTAGTACAGTTACAGTATATGTTTTTCCTTTCTTTTTCATTCCTTCGTACTTTAACTCTTAACCCTTTTTTTGTATATTGCTACAGCTGTGCCGCTCCACACAGCAGCCACTAGCTGTGTGCAGCCGCTGCACACCTGAAATATTCCTCGTTCAAACTGAGACATGGTGGAGGCGTAACACACACCAGATTTCCAAGCTTTAATATGAAAAAAAGAATGTAGCATACCTCACAAGTTTTTCAGTTTTTTGTTTGTTTGGGGTTTTTTTTTTTTGTTCTTGTTTTTGTTTTTGTTTTTAGACACAGGGTCTCTCTGTAGCCCCAGCTGGCATCTGGCATGGAACTCTATGTGGACCAGGCTGGCCTTAATCTCATAAGAGCGAGTGCTGGGATTAAACATGTATATCACCACATCCAGGATAATATTTTATGTTTTAATTATATGTTAAAATCATAATGTCTTAGACAGATTGGAATAAACAAAATATTTCTCTTTCTTTAGTTATTTGGTTGATGTGGCTTAATTTTGGTTTTGGGGGGCTTTAAATTTGGATTTTAGACAGGGTCTCACAGTGCAGTACATGCTGGCTTAAAACATGCAGCAATTCTTCTGCCTCAGCCTCCCAAGTGCTGAGATTACAGCCACCATGCCTATAAACAATCTATTTCTGAAATCATTTTACCTACTTCTTTTTTCCTTATCATACTAGAAATTTTACAATATTATATTGACTCACATTATACTTGTGATGGCCAGTTCTGCCCTACAGCAACCATTTCTATTCGCAAACTTTATTACACTTCAAAATCACCTAGGGTTGCTTGCTGAAGATCAAATTCCTGGATCTTCTCTACAAAGATTCCAGTCTGGTAGACTGGCTTGATTCAGAAAAGCAGAATGAGGGCCCAGAATTTTGGCTTAATCTTCAGTCTTGTTTCTAATTTATCTTTTGTATTCATTGGCTAGCTCATCTTTTCTTCCCCACATCACCCACGAGGATAGAGCTGAATTAATACTCACTGATTAGCATTTCCCTGACCATCTTCCAGTTCAGATGCCTCTCATCTCCTGACTCTTCCAACTGCCAACTGTACATGTTCACTGAGATATCCCAAAACCGTTCATACATCATCTAAATCCATAGTTCTATTCTCCCTGACCCATTTTTCCTTCTCTGCTCCCAGTTATATCTCCTTATCATCAATAGCTAATCGGTTTCAAATTCCCATGAACTCTTCTTGGCTAACTTTTACCCTCTCTATGCCTCCTTAATTCCTTTAGTTTTGGGTTTCTCAAATTTGGAAATATTGAAATATTAAGCCAGATAGTTCCTGTAGGGAGTGGTTTGGTGCACTGTAGGACACTTAGCAGTTTCCCATTCTTACTCTACTCTGTACTAGTTAGCGTCCCCTAGTGGGTGAAACCAAAAATGCTTCATGATGTTGAGGATGGGGAATTGAAAAGAAGGGATCCTCTCCTAGCCGCCGGCTCCATGGAACTATTGCCTTGGTTCAGACCTTTGCATTAAAATAAAAGATTCCATTTCCTGTCTCTTCCTCATATTTCACATGCTTCTAAGAGTTTTACTGTTTTCATCAGGATAAAGCTGAGGAGGTAAAGTGGCATTAAAAGGACATTATTTGCCTTCTGCTTGACTCCTCCAACTTTTCACTCCAATAATACTGAGTGCCTTTGCAGCTAATTATGGATAGATGAAATTCATAAGAAATGATAACTGTACCCAGTAAGTTATTAGCTTAGTAGATATATGCACAACTCCTAGGATGTTTTAAATTTAGAATATGAGTAAGCGTGTACTTGGTGAAACACAGGCAGAATTGTGTTAAATATACATAGTAAGTTAGTAAACTAACAGCATGCCAAAGTTAGAATACATCAAAAATATGATGGAACAGAGGGTCACTTACAGTCAAAATGGGATAGCAAAACAGTTATGAATAATCATAACATCTCTAAACTGACAACTTTGTCAGTCCCAATTCAGCCTCAATTTGCAGACAACTAAAATAGTCTTATGTTTACTGAGTGCCAAGTGTGGGTTACTTTTCTTCAAGTTGTTGGTCAGGGGGGTCCCAAAGACCAGAAAAATCAATATAAGCTATTTCCACTCACTACTCTTGGTTGTCCATCAAAACTCAAATGTAAACCACTATTTGCTGAAGACACCACACACATGAATTAAAGGACATGGAGAAATCAAACTGACACTGACCTGGAAGCTTCTCCTGGCCAGCTTTAACAGTGTCTGAAGGTGCTATGCAGCTTGTCAGGGGAGAAAGCTAATCAACAGTCTTACCTAGCTGTGAACTCTACAAGCTGCAATAATGACTTACTGGACAAGATATGTCCATTGATACAACAGTGGCAGGAATGTTACGGGAGTAACCAAAAGCTTTCTGGTTGGATTTAAGGCCTACTCAGTAAGGAGGAGCTCAGACTTCGTACTGGGCCAAGACAATGGTTGGATAGGTCGTAGGCCCTAGGGAGAGCTTACTATGATTTTGCAAAGGGATATCATATCAAATTGCCCTCTGAACATTTATCTTTATGCCCATACATTAGTGCAGCTCCCAATCCTCATTAGAGAAGCTTCTTTTTTTAGTGCAGTGGCTCACACCTTTAATATCAGAGCTCAGGAGGCAGGGGCAGGTGGATCTCTAAGAGACTGAAGCCAGCCTGATCTACATACCAAGTTCCAGGCCAGCTGAGGCTACAGGATGACCCTGCCTCAAAAAGACAAAAAAGCCTCTTTTTGCAGTAGATGGCAATTGATACCCACAACCAGTCAGAGTACAGATAATGAGACTGTGGAGTGCTCAGCCCTCAATGGAGCATCTAATATCACAGCCCCTCTCAAGGCTCAGGGATCATCGCACAAGAGGGGACAGAGAGATTATAAGAGCCAGAGGCCATAGAGGAATACTGCAAAGCAGTGTTTTCCAGACATGACAGGGTAGTTGCACACATGAACTCACAGAGGCTATGTCTGAATGTGCAAGACCTGTACCAGATCAAACTAACCAAAATTCTGCATGACTGGCAGAGAGAATAGCTGAGGAACTATTGACAGCTGATGGGCAAGGGAGAGTCCGGTTTTCTTCAGAGATGCTATTAGGCTGTCCATACTCCAGTGAGTGGCCCTATACCCACACATATGTTCACAGCACTAAACGTACTCAGTGGCTTAAGAAAGAGTACATGGGAGCTGGAGAGATGGCTCAGCAGTTAAGATCACTGACTGCTCTTGCCTAGGATCCAGGTTTAATTCCCAGCACCCACATGGCAGGCTAACAACCACCTATAACTCCAGTTCCAGGGGATCTGACACCCTCTTCTGACCCCTGTGGGCAGTGCACGACATGGGTGCACCTACCTACAAGCAAGCAATACACTTGTACACATAAAATTAAAAAAAAAAAAACAATAGAGTACACGAAGTTGGGAAGAAGGGGGAGAGGTATGGGACGAGCTGGAGGGAAGGTAATGGAGGTAGATTTGATCAAAACGCATTGTATACATGCATGAAATTCTCAAAACAATAAATAAAAGTCAATGAACTTACACAGTGGAGGCATAAAAAAGACACTATTTCTTAGCAGGCCTGGTGGTCCATGCCTACTAAGAGGGTGAGGCAGGAGGAGGATCATAAATTCAAAGCCTCTACCACAAACAAAACCAACCACAAAACCACCTTCTATTTCATCCCTCCAGAGAAAAATTTACAGTTTAAATTCCTGGAGGTAGCTGGGTGAATTCACAGTTTAAATTCCTGGATACAGCACACACCTTTAATCCCAGCACTTGGGAGGCAATAGCAGGCGCATCTCTGAGAGATCAAGGCCAGGTTGGTTAACACAGTAAGTTCCCGGCCAGTTAGCGCTACAGGGAGACCCAGCCTCAAAAAGAAAAAACAAAAACAAAAAATAAGGAGAGGGGGGGATCCTGAAGCCTTTTACTCAAAACACTGCTTTCATAATATATAATAAAAGAGAGGCTTTTTAGAATGTACTTCGAGTGAAGCAAAATAAAATGTGAGCCTTCAAATAAAGTGCCCGTTCCCGAAGTCCCTTTAATTCAACTCACTCCCCTTCAGGGGCGAGGGGAATGTGCGAGGAAGTTTGGTAGGGTGCACAGTATAAATCTGCAGGCAAAGCAAGCTAAATTGGAAACCCACGTCTAGCAGTGGTGACCCCCAAGGACCTCCCAACTCCTTAATCCCGAGAGGAGCACGAGAACACCCTAGAGCGCCTGAAGCAACTCCTTCCTGCTCTGGAGTCAGAAGCAACTCTTGCATGGTCTTGAGTCATCCTCCGCCGGTGGGCACCCCACCCTTCCGCCTCCGGAGGAGGCCGCGCTGTCTTCCGCTCTAGACCGCTGCGGCGCTTCTCTCTGTGGTAGTTCGGCCTCTCTAGCCGGCCTCGCTGTCGTCTCAGTGTCAGTGCGAGACCCGCCGAAGTGCAGTTTGCCGAGCGTGGCCTGTGCGGATTCGGTGCGCCCCGAGCCTGGCGAAGAGGAGCGGCAGCCAAGGTGGAAGGGGACCGGGCGACTGTGGGATGGAGCCGCGGTGGGCCACTGCGTGTGTGGGAGCCCCGGGGACCCCGGAGGCCCCCGGGAGAGCTGGAGGGGAGGCCTGCACCGGGAGGGGCGTGGGGCTTCCTGCAGCCTGGTGCCCCGGGCCCCAGACCTGCCCCGGTTACTACCACCCCTGTGCGCTCAGCCTGCAGAGGTGTTGAGCCGGGGACTCCGGCTCCGCCCTGCGGTGCAGCCTCGTCAGTTTGGGGACGCGGCCTTGCCAAATTGCCCAGGCTATCCTCCAACCTTCTGCATGATCCTCCGCCTAAATTCCTCAGATAGCTCAGATCACAGGCATAAGCCACCAGTCTAAGCTCTCCTGTTGCCTTTTTTTTTTTTTTTTTTTCTAAAATCACAATCCTCAGCCCTAGCTGTTTGATTTGGCTGAAGCCTGAAGCTTAATATTGTTTTAGTTTTGGGTTGTTGTTTATTTTTTCCATCATGGTAGTAGGTGTTCGTTGAACCTGTGTGGTGGTTTGAATCATTTTGATTTGACAGTGAACTAGGGATGTTAATGCATATGACCCATACACGGTTGGGGTGGGAATCACTACAGGAAACTAAAGTCTCTCTGCACAAATTGATTTCAGGATGTCTACCTTTTTGGTTTGGGATTCTGGGAGTTTCTGAACATGTGTTCATTCAAAATTAGAAAAACCACAACATGGGACCCAGGGGGTTGGGACCCAGGGGGTTGGTTCCCTGCCTAGAGCTCCATATATAGTAGAAAAGATTAACAGGTAACCAGAACAGTGTAATATTGCTGTAAAACAGAAAGGCACTGAAGTTATTTTACATTGGTTGGTGGAGCACATAACACACAGTGCCTCCTTTCCACTGTATGAGTGGTAATAGAGAAAAATAAATAAATAAATAAATATACTGAAAGTGTTTGTGGAAACACAAGGGAAGAAGCAGGACCTCAACAGACTACCGACTCAGAAACACAGCTCTCACCTCAAAGGGAGTAAGAGATCGTCTACTACTTTACTCTGAGACCAAATAATGAGTGACCATGGATGGCCTGGAAACACAGATTCGGATTACCCCAAAGGCCACGTTCCACGTCTTATGATTTTTACAGTAATAGAACAAAAGATATCATAAATCACTCATACACTGATGGAAACATCAGGTGGGGGAGATACAGCAGAGCAGGGAAATCTCTGCTAGATGATCTCTCATGACATTTTTAGCTTGGGGGTTGGTGGAAGCTGGGAATCTGCCTTCTAAAAGGATTTATCGAACCATCACAACGATGTTAGGTAAACACAGGTGAGCAATAAATAGCTATTTAAAGGGTTGAGCTAGCCCACGATAATTTGGCTCTGCACCTGTTACATTTAACACTACACCACCACCACCACCATTGAAGTTCTAATCAAATATCCACCTTTTGTAGAATGTTTCATATAAGTACAGGTGTTTCCCGCCCCCTTCAGTTCACAAGATAGATGATGCAGGTAGTGTCTTATTACTGCCTGGTACAGAAATGCTCAAAGGTTTTCCAAGCAGAGAAAACAACATAAAGTCATAGAATATCAAGGAAAGTAGATGGATCCCTTGGAGCTTGAGTTATAGGTAGTTGTGAGCCAGCCTTCATGAGTAGGGGGGGACCGAACTTGGGTCCTCTGCAAGAGCAGCAAGCGCTCTTAACTGCTGATCCATCTCTCCAGCCCCATTATTGACTATTTTGCTATAGTTTTATTAATTATGGTAATAATGTTAAAGAAACAGGAACACAGGGCTGGGTTAAAAGGCAGCTTGTCAAAGGGCATTTTTGCTGTTTGAAAAATAACATACATACACCATATGTCACGAACTAGGCCTTAGAGACGCACTGATCTGTTCAGGAATTAAAGTAAGTGTACAAAGTTTAAATGTTTATAAATTTGCATCTCTACATGTTATTTTGAAAGTGTTTGAATAGTTGGGTTTCCTTAGTATTGTGGGGAAATCTTCCTAAGTTTGGGAGGGGGGTGAGACTTCAAATTCATGAGATCTAAATTAACAAAATTTTTAGGGGGTTGATGTTTGGTGTTGATTTGTTATGAGGAACTTTTTTCTTTCGCTGAGAGTTCTAGACATTATACTCATCAAAAAGAATGGCAGGAACAAACTGATCTTTTCTGATTATTTATTTTTTTGTTTTGGGGTCTTTTTGAGACAAGGTCTCCCTGTAGTCCCAGATGTCCTGGAACTCACTATGTATACTCACTATGTATACTGAACTCTCAGTGATCCAACTGCCTTTGCCTCCTGAGTGCTGGGATTAAAGGTGTGCAGCAGTATGCCTGGCCTTTCCTATAATTATCCACAAAAGGGAAGGTGGGTGAATCATAACTATCACAGAGCTATAAAATGAATACATGATAAAGAACCGAGGAACTGGTAAGACATGAGTTAGGGAAATCCAAATCTCCACCAGAAAGAATGTGCAAAACTAGAAATACTATGCATTGCTGCATTGCTGTTGGCACTTACTTAATGCACATTCTGATCAGAGGGTGAGGTTCTGGTTTCTACAGGGACTGAGAACATATAGACAGTAAATAGTAATATATTTCTGACTGTTGCTTAAGAAAGGAGTCAGATCATCATTGTGGAAGAACAGAACACTGCAGGTGAAGGTAAGAGCGTGAAGCTGCTAGTCTGCCCTTGAAAGAAAAATAGTAATCGTAGGTCACCTTCCCAGAACACAAACTCAAATGAGGAGAGAAACAGTTGCTAAGAAACAGATCCAAAGAACTTTACAGGAGATCTTTAGCCTAGAGGAGGACAAAAAGATCTGGAAATGAGGACATGAGGGGAAAAGAGTAAACAAACCACCATGTCATTTTTAGAAGGCAGACCATGACCACTTAAGACCCCTCCTTGAAAGTTTGTGTTCTTCGAGCAGGCCTCACTCTTTGGCAGTACATGAACAGGCTGCCCAGTCAGGAAGTTAACTTCTGTGAGACTTTAACTTGGGTGTGTTCATCTTCACACTGGTAGTTTGCTCAGATGAGTGGTATTGCTAAGTCACTGAATTTTAATCAGTTTGTAAAATTTATTTTTTATTGCAAGTTTTTCCGTTGTCAGATATATATATATAGTATGTATGTGCAGGTGCACATGAAGACTAGAGATGGATGCTGGGTGCCTTCACTACTAACCTTATGTTTTTGAGCTTGGGTCTCCTTGGTGAACTTAGACTCCTGTTTTAGCCACACTGGCCCCAGGGATCCTCCTGTCTTCACTTCTCCGGTTCTGGGATTTCATACATGCACCACAGCACTTGGATTTTTTACTTATGAGGGTTCTAGGGGACTAAACTCAGGTCCTCAGGCTTACAGAGTGACTGAGCCATCTCCCCAAGCCTGCAGTTCCTTCTTGAAGAATTCAGTTTTAGCAAAAGGTAAGAAAGAGTTGGGACCAGACAAGGATGAGAAGGTGCAGAAAATGGGGGTGCCCAGTTCAATCTTGAATTTCAGACAGACGGTGGATTGCTTTTCAGCACTATGTGGGACATAATTAAAATAGAAGCTTTTTAGGTATTATTAAAAATACAAATTTAGCTGATCATCTTGTATCTGGCAGTAACTAACAGTGCTGTTGGAGGGATAGTTGACTTTTGAAAAAGTGATTCGGAAGGCAGTTTAATTTCTACAATTAATCCTTCAAAAGCTATAGTGCTCTAGGGGATAGGAATTCTAAAATAAAAATAAATTTCCTAAATATCCAGATACCTTTTTCTTCTTCTGAGACTGTCTTTTGCCCAGGCTATCCTCTAAAACTCCCTATGTAGTTGAGGATGACCTTGAACTTCAGACCCTTCTGCCTCTATGTTTGGAATGCTGAGTGTGCCAACCCCTGTTTATGCAGTGCTAGGAACTGAACCCAGGGTCTTATGCCTAATTCAAGGAGTTCAGAGGCAGAAGGCTCCCTGCCTGTCAGTTTCATATTCATTCCTCTGTATCAAAGGTTGATTCTACCTTGGTTTTTGTTGCTGTTATTGTTGTCACTGTTGTTTTGAGACAGCTGTAGCCCCAGCTGGCATAGAACTTGCTATGTAGACCAGGCTGACCTCGAACTCAAAAAGATCTGCCTGCCTCTGCCTCCCAAGCCCTGGGACTAAAGGTGTGTGCCACCACACCTGGCTCTTTACCTTGTTTTTTGATCACTATCCAATGCTTTCTTGGATTTCACATTTTTCATCCCGTAGAGGACTCTCTATTATAGATCTAATGTGTACTCTTCCCATTGGAAGCCCCCAGCTATAAGAAATGGCAAGCCAGCGCCTCCATCTCATTGTCTCTTTCAACCTACCAAATCAGACACATGAAAAGGATGCTGTTCTATTCCAGTTTTAATTCCTTTTCACAAGCAAGCTCCTACCAGCAGCCATCCTTACCGCGTCCCTTGTCTTAGTACACACAGCAGCAGCCATGCAATTGCCATGATGGCTTGCTGGCAGTCTCACCTGTCCATGCTATTGTCAGGCACAGAGGTATATCCTGTAATCCTAATTTTAGAGTGTCACTGTGCTCACGACTCTGTACCATGTAGAGAAGACCACCACCCTGGGATTCCCCCTTGGACACTCCACCCCAGACGGCTCGACTTTAGTTACACGTCTTGCTAGCCATAGAAGGCCTATGGAGCTGTCAGCCATAGCAGAAAGGTCCACCACATGCCACATGGGAAGACCAGCCTTGTCAACTGCCCCTGGGAATGTTCCACCCTCAGATGATTCAGCCTCAGTTGCATGCCTTAAGCAAGGGCCGTGCAAGTTTTCCTCCCAAATTCGTCTTTGGTTCTGTTGTGCCCCACACTGGGCACCAATTTGTTACATTAACTTTCCACGGGGAGATATGAACAAGCAACTATTCACTCCAGATAGGACATTAATGACAGACCTGATTAATGATTCCACCACAGTATGACTTGGTAAACCAATGAGCTTATTTGGCTTACTTACACAATATAGGTGAGGGGTTGCTTACAGGAGTGTGAGTATCCCTGAAACAGCTGCATCATTACAGTCTCACCCCATCGTGAATGACAGCCTTATGGGGTATATCACGAAGTCCTGCTGCTGACTGTAGTATTTACAGCTGCAGTTCTGTCACCATAGACCTAGGCTTTCACTATACTGTATTGTTTAGTTAGTGGCTGTGGCTCCCAGGCAAAGGTACTCTCCACCCCAATATGGCCCAGGATGATCTGCTATTCCTGAAGGAAGAAGCCACACTACAACAGTCACAGTTGACTATATTTCCTTATAAACATTTTAATGTTTAAGCTTTGCATGTGTGATTCTTTATAAGTGTGGAAAAGATCTAATTTTGTCTTTTTCCATATGGTTAGCTGATAAAAATCCTTTCCACATTGATTTGTAATACTCATCTGTTTATACTACCACATCATACACCAAACTGTCTTCTGTATGGATCTGTTTGTCTGTACTATAGCAATACCACACTGCTTTAATTATAATAACGTTTTAGTAAATTGGTGCCTTTCATTTCTTTCAAAGTTTCTTGGACCTTTTCATACAGATCAGCTTGCTAACTTCCAGCCAGGTGGGGTCAAATGACTGATTGTATTTTGATTGGAATAGCCTGACATTTGGAGAATTCCTTGAAAGCTGACAGATACACTACAGTCAGACCTCCCATAATTCTTGCTGTTATTTATGGTATCTTTTGTCTTTCAGCTTGATAATAGTCTCCATAAAAATCTGCATTTTTGTAAAATTTATGTTTTATAGTATTATAATTGTTTGGTTCCCACCATCCTTGTTAAGTTCTCCTACTAGTTCTACAAAATTTGTCTATTAAACAGCTTTTATTTCTCATGTATATATTTCTTGTTTCTTATATTTCTGTCCTTTAACTGTTCAATATGATCTTCAGTTGCAGCTGTGAAAACAAGCATTCGCTGTGGTTCTCATCTGACAAGGATCATTTCTGACAGCTCCTGATTAAATATGTTCTTGTTCATTGTAGGCTCTTGGTAATTTTTAGTCCTTGCTTGCTAAGAGTTTTTGTTTTTGTTTTTTAAGAAGTGCTAAATTTTTATTAATTATTTTCTTAATTTTCCACATAAGAATTTTAAGTATAAATCTGTCTTTAATATTTTCTCTAGGTTATCACCTCATGACCTACTAAAGAAATTTTTAGACAAAATAAAACAGGGAAGTTGAGCTAGACTCAAGAAGGATGGATCCATGTTCAGTTGGAGTCCAGCTTCGTACTACAAATGAGTGCCATAAAACCTTCTACACTCGTCACACAGGTTTCAAGACTTTGCAGGAATTGTCATCAAATGACATGCTTTTACTTCAGCTTAGGACTGGAATGACACTCTCTGGGAACAATACAATTTGCTTCCATCATGTAAAAATTTACATTGACAGATTTGAGGATTTACAGAAGTCATGCTGTGACCCATTTAATATACACAAAAAGCTAGCCAAAAAGAATCTGCATGTAATTGACTTAGATGATGCCACTTTTCTGAGTGCAAAATTTGGAAGGCAACTTGTACCTGGTTGGAAACTTTGCCCAAAATGTACCCAGATCATCAATGGAAGTGTGGATGTTGATTCAGAAGACCGCCAGAGAAGAAAACCTGAGTCAGATGTATGTATAGATGCCATTGTGATTTCTACACTGTGAAACTCTATAAGGGACCATATTTATATTGTTGTCATATTCATTAACATACAACGAATTTAAAGTAGAGGATGTGAAAGAAAATGATGTTTCAAAATTTTCATATGCCCAAGGTATAGGATCAGTGATAAACAAGGTTTTAGAAAGCACAGTAGGCCCAAGACTCCAACCTACAACTTGTAATAGTTAGACTTTACAAACTAGATCTTAGAATATTTACCAGAGTCAGGACTTAGCTAACTTAGATTCTTTCTGACACTGAAGTAACTTAATGGAATTTGCTACCCACAGGGGCTATAAACCTGGAAGGATGCTGCTTTATGTGAAGGGCTTGGAGCACAGCTTTGCAGTGAGGATAAAAGAAATGACTTATAATTGACTTTGATTTTTGGTGTTTTGAGATGACGTCTTACTGTGTAGCAGAAGCTGCCCTGGAACTCATTATGTAGTCTAGGCTGGCCCCAGACTCATGCCAATCCTCCTGAATCAGCTTCCCAAGTACTGGGATTACAAGCCTGACACACTGTGCCCAGCAGTCATTGAATTTTGATGTCTTCCTCCTTTGGCATTATCCTATTCTTGTTTGAGATATTTAAATAATTGTGAGGTTTCCTGTGATTCTGTCTCTGAATTTTTGATATAATAAGACTAAATTTAGTTTTTGTCTCTCGTCCCTGTTCACATGCCTACATGCAGGTCATTTAACTGTTATCAGAAAAGTTGAGATTCATGAAGCTGTCTTTATTATTGTAAATAAAGACAAGAATAGCAGAGGAGCATGTCTTAAAACTTGTATTTATAGGCATTGTATAGTTCTTGCTACTAGACTATTTTCTGTTTTCTCCTTTTCATTGTATTAATAAACCAAAGTAAAAGGTAATTACAGTACTAAGTTCATGCATTGTTTCCTCAGGCACATCTCTGGGACCCAACATTATCTGAAGTTCAGTATAGATACTTGTGAATCCTGGTCCTTCTGATGGCTTCACCTCATCTACCCATCCTTCTTGTGACCTCTTAATCACTTAATCTTAACTTTGGGTATATGAAAACATCATGAAAAACCATTTACTTTCATCTCAAATAACAAACTTAAACTCTTACATACTAAAATTCTGTTTGCCAGAGCTTTAAAAAAAAAAAAAATTACAAAGCTGGAGGGATAGTGCAGCCATTAAACACTAAGGCTAACAACCAAAATAATGAAAGGTTCGGTTCCCAGAAGTGAAACTCAATTGCCTCTCTCCTGTTACAAATAGAAATTTTTCCTAAGGACACAGAAGTGTCATTAGGAATATTAGTTGTGTGCTCTGGGGTGAGTTTTTGCTGCCTTCTCTCCTGTGATCACACATCCATGCCAGAGACTAACTCAAGTACTAAAAATATTATTAACAAATGAATCAGTAAGATTTAAATATATACTAGAACACTGTAAATTTTCAGGTATTCCTTTTTGTGTTCCAAACTGTCTGCCCCATTTAGGGATATCTGGTTTAGTGCTAAGTGAGTGTCACTGTTTGATGTCAAGATTTCAATTTATCATTTACCTTCATTCAGGGAAGAACTGCTAAAGCTTTGAGGTCACTGCAGTTTACAAACCCAGGAAAGCAAACTGAATTTGCTCCAGAAACTGGTAAAAGGGAAAAAAGAAGGCTTACAAAAAACGCAAGCACTGGTTCTGACAGGTAGGCTGTATAATCTTTAGGCTATGTGTTAACTTGATGGGTCAGGTCATATCAGTATTATCCCTTTATTTATTTTTTCTTAACTTTGAATTTTCTGATTAGTCATTTTAAATTGAATTTGGAATTAGTTTTTTAAAAAAAAAAAAAAAAAAAAAAAACCCCCAAA